TTACAAGATGCCCATCAACCCTTATTTAGCATAGCGAGGCTTCTGGCAACAATATTTTCAATTTTTTTTAGAAAAAATGCCAAATTCCAGCGGCGCTCATAAAATTAAAAACAAAATGCTTAATTGAAAAACGCACCGATTTAAATTTCACCGATCAGCGATTTAGGAGATGCAAACTAAAATTCAACCCTTCTCACAAAGCTTCTGACAACAATATTTTAAAAATTTGCCGAAAAAATTCCATACTTCAGCGGTGTTCATAAAATTTTTAAAAAATCTTTAATTTAAAAAACATCAGATTTATCAAACACTTTTCTAGATTTACAACATGCCCGTCAAACTTCAGACTTTATTTACTCACAAAATTATTGAGTGACATCCCTCCCGCAGGGCCCTTGCCGTCGGTGGGTCCCTCACTCAAAACCCGTGGTTGGGGAACAAACAGGGGCGAAATAAAAATAAATAAATGGTCCTTTTACACTTTTCACAAGCGGCGAACGGACGGATGAATGACTGACTCGGCACTTTCTTTCTGTCAAATTCTAATGGATTGAGACTTCACTCTTTAATCTGAGCGAAACACATGTGAATTAATGTATTGATAATGTCAAATCCGACCCGAGTAAAAAATAAATGCCGCGATATTATTAAAGAGTACAAAAATTTGATGTAACGATGATACTGGGAATTAAGAATGTGGAGCGGTTTAAGTCCGATATTAATACTTTTACCGTGAGGAGAGTAAGAAAATGATAAAAGATTCGAGAAAATCTGGAGAAAATTGGAAATACTGTTCACAAAAATCGATACCGTTTTGTGAAAATTTTGAAACATTTTTTTTTAGAAAATTTGCTGAAATTTTATATAATTTTTATTATTTCGTTATTTTTACGAAATTTGATTAACATGCGTTTCATATAATTATTCGAAAAGTATTGTTCAACATAAGGGGTTGGAAATTTTATTTAGTTAAAATAGAATTTCTGCGTGCATTAAATTATAAAAAATTTTACTTTTTAAATTCACTATTAGCTGGATATGAATATTATTAATAAAATAAAATTTAGATTTATAACCGAGTTCTAATACCAACTCAAACTTTACAATTCAACTTAAATGTAAAAGATTTCATGATAAATTTCTAAAAATAGAGTAAAATGGAAGCTATGATCAAACTTAGGTAAAATTATGAACTTAGGTGAAATTATGATTTGAAATTATGAAAATTTTATGAGAAACTATACTTTCGTTTAAAAACTTTCTATATTTTTTTGTAGTTACAGGTATACTATGCAGGTAGTCAGCTCTTAAAATTTGTATGGGATTATACACATCTAAATTTAGAAGAAAAATATTTTTATAAAATGCAAGCATTGAAAAGGAGCGGCTTGAAATTATAAATATTTTTATGCCAAACTAATCCTCCGCTTGACAACTTTATTCAATTTTTCGTATATTTATATCCCTCAGATTTGTGGCCAAGAAACTAGTCGTATATTTAAATTTATGTATAATATAGATAAATATAGATAAAAGTTTATAGATATAGATTCTATATAGAAGCAATAAATTTAATTCAATTCTTAAAAAAAATTTTTAATGAGACGATAACCTATTTCTTTCTCTCGCCGAAATCTAAAATTCCATGTAATCATCATCATCCAATTCACTTTTAACCAAGGCTTCTGTTTCAGCCGTGAAATGAATTTCATTTTCTGGATATTTATGACAACAATCAGATCTTTTGGCAAGTTTTTGCAGAATTTCGTACATTTGAGTAAATTTAGAAGCAACAAATTTCACCAGAATGTATACAATCTCAAAAAATTACAAAATTCCAAAATAAAACAAAACCCAATTTCCATCATTATTCCACTTTTCTCTCCTCAATCCAAAATTCCGTCTAATCATCATCCCCGAATTGAATTCTAACCAAGTCTGCTCCGTGCCAGGCTTGAAATGCATTTCATTATCTGGCTGTATTTTATCTAGGGTGAATTTCTTTTCTATCCTGCAGCAAAACCAGACCAAACCACCCCCAAAAAGAACGAAGGTTTCCAGTGGGAGGAATATTTTGTGTCGATGATCGTTTCTTTTTTACCAAACTGAAACTTGAGCGAGTAAGCAAGAGATGCGTTTAGTTTTGGCTTTGAAAGTCGGTCGGTCGGATGAGAGAGCGGACAGACAAAAAAAGTGTAGTCATCAATCACCCGGGTTCACCCTCATGACTGAATCAGTCACATCACATCCAACTTCCCGTGTTCTACTCGTCTCACCTGATCACATCTGAACCTAAACCCATCACGACTAACTAAGTAAGCAATGATACACATAGATAAAAGTTAAGGCCAACGGGAACTTAAAAAATGTGTATGTATTTTTCCAGAAAATAATAAAAAGGACTAAATTGTAATGATGAAATTGGTTGGAGTCGTTTGTATAAAGTGGTATGCTTTCGTGTTGAGGCAATGAACGCAGTAGTTTCGTAATTTGTTACAAATTTTAAAAAAGTAGGAGAAATCGGCTTAAATTTAGTTATCTAGATAAATCAAAATTTTATAAGTAATAATTTGTGCCATTTTCACGCCATATTTATGCGTTTTGTAAATAAATATTGTATGTCATTAAAACTAGATGGTATGAACATTTTTAATAATTAATAATAATTGTCAAAAAATTGGCTTACGCACTTTTAAGAATTTCATGATCAGTTTTGATATGATATTAGAACTGAGAAATCAATAAAAATCTCAATTCTAAATCGTCATAACTAATAAGATTTATGTACTTTTCCCTTTGCAAAATTTCCCATTGTAGCGAGACATTCAAACCACCCTGTACTGTAACAATATCCTAACCTTGGTGGAAATGTTGTTGTAGAAGAAAATGGGTGCACGACCTTTCGTAAATTTAAAGAGATTAAGGGAATGACTTTTTATTTTTGTAACGAATTGGACTACACAACTTGTCACATTTTCGTGCCACTTGTGCATATGAAAATATTTGAATTGGAACTAAATATATCCCCTGATTGGATTTACTGGATCATTTGATTACAATTGTAAACGAATTGAGATCAATATAATGAGAAATGTGTATTGTTATTTAGGAAAAAGTTTGAAAAGTAATTTTAGAAAACTCCGTGATTAGATTTCAGTTAAAAAAATAGGAATTTAAAACTTTAGAGAATTTATAAGAGTTAATTTCGTTTCTCCATTAATTAATATCTAAATAATTGCCATAGATTTGTAATTTCATGGGAAAAATGCAGATCAACTTTAAAATCTCACCTTTCTCAAAATATAGAGCTCATTTTTTGCATAAATTGATTTGGATTGATTTAACGTGTACAAAATTCTGTATAATTCGGATTGCATAATTTATACAGTTTATACACTTTAAAAACTTGACCTTTTACGCAGAAAGTGAAATCAAATTCTGTTTCTTTTTTAAAATTTTACGACAACAAATTTAAATACAATTTACCACAATTTTTTGGAAACTTCATACTCACATTTTTGATTTGTTTATTCTTTTATGAAATTCTTCCAATAAAAAATTCATTTGTGGCATAAATTAATTGAATTACAATTATAATGCCTTTTTTTAGAAATCAAATACGTAAATCCCGAATAATGCCAAAAATTGTTACCCAGCCGGGAATCGAACCACGGCTCCCTTGAATTCATGTCAAGTGCTCTGATCTCTGAGCTACTAGGGCAATTAGTAACATTATAGGGACTTTTACTGATATTTGTCTGTGGCCTTTTTCTGTGAATTTCTACTTTCTTTTACGGTGGTAACGAACTGTTGCCTACCAAAGAAAGTTCACTTTTGGCCTACGATGGAAAGTTCTTTTTTATTCCGAACTAGGAATTTGTTTTGATTTTAACACTACTTCTATCCTTGTGGAAACCAAATTTATTTAGAAATCAACTACGTAAATCCCGAATAATGCCAAAAATTGTTACCCAGCCGGGAATCGAAATTATAATGCCGTTTAAAAAATCCTACCTAATCCAGAATCCAGAGTACACAATTTGCCTTAAAAACTTGCCCTTTTACTGGCGTTTACGCAGCAAGTGAAATAAAATCCAATCTCTTTTTTAAAACTTTCACGACAACGAATTTAAATAAAATTTATACAAAATTACCTCAAGTTTCCTTTCTTTTTTTTAAAAATGAATGAAACCCTTAAAACAAAAGGGCTGAAACCGCAGGGAATTTCATACATTTTATTTTGGATTCGTAGCTTCTTTTATCTTTTTCCAAGGCAGAAAAAATGACATCCTTTCCTCTCCAAGATATTGACATTCATTAATTTTCCTCCCAAAATTTAAGAATGAACTTCAACTTCAACTCTGCCTCTCGACGACGTGGTGTTGGAGTATGTCGGAAGCGAAGCGTAAATATGAAGACAAAAGTGGGAGAAAAATTGAGACAAAGTGAACAAAAGAGGCAAAGAAAGAGGGGGGCATGCTATTGATGAGACCGAAGACACTCTAAATAATTTTGTAATTTTACCGAGTTTGGTAGGATTTGGTAGAAATAGATACTTGAGTTTCGTGAAATTTAAAATAAACTTGAATTCTGAAATTGGATTTTCTTACCAACCGGTAAACAATAGTGTTTACCGGTTGGTAAAAAATTACCGAGTTTACCGGGTAGTACATATTTTCTGGTAGGTACCAATTGGTAAAAATATTTACTTTTGTAGAATTGAAAAGAGATCCTAATTGTGAAATTTTAATTTTACCAACCGGTACAAAATATTTATTACCGGTTGATAAAAACTACAACACCGGTAATAGTTTCAGCGTCTTCCTGGGTCACAGTATACATATGTAGTGAAATATCGAATTTCCTAGTAAATGGGGGTTACTGATCCGTAACGAATTATAATTTTGCAGGAAATAATTTATAAATTTATTACCGAATCTGTGATAAATTGCCACCTTACAATTTATTAGAGTGTACAAGTTCATTTATTACGTACGTACCTTGGTGGTTGTTCTTCCGCGTCGTCTTTTTCTCTTTCATCCACGGATACTCTGAAATGTCAGAAAATCTTTTTTACCAAAAAATGTGAGACTGGTAGCCAATAACCTTTCTTAGATTTGGAGTCCAGCCACGTATTTTAGGAGATTTCACTTTACGAGATTCAAACTTCAGATTGAAATTGAAGTTAGCAAAATATAAAGTGAGACTAATTTTTGTAACAAAAAACCATCCAAATTTATACCACAATTCACTTATGTAAAGAATTTAATAATAGATGAAATACTCTATGAGGCAAATCACGCAGTACTTGATAACTCTGTAAAATTCGTGAATTGTGTAAAATAGTTTTACAAAATTTTACCAAATAAAAAGACGCCCTTGATCTGGGGAAGTTTACAAAAATGTGTAAGCTAATTCCCCATTGCAATATTTGGACACTTCAAAATTTGTAATAGTTTGAAAGTTTACGAATTTTACAGATTTTATTAAGTTACCAAGAATTGCGTATATATTTCCTCTTCTAATAAAAGTATCCGTTGAAATCGCAGCTTTCAATCTGAACGGAACCTCGCAAGCATCTAAACTTGTCGTAATATTTTGAGAAAATCATTTTTTTCTAAATCGACTTTAATACTCAACAATAGTAGAAAGTTCTCATCTGGTGAAACTATAAGTTATCAACCCATAATTTCATATATGAAATTATGGGGAACGAACTCCTGTCTCAAAAACTGACCACGATAGGGCACAAATTAGGTAAAATGTCAAAAAATACATAAATGTATTAAGAGAACAAACTAAAAGTTGACCAAAATCCGGCATAATATTGTAAAATTTCAAAAATTATGTAAATTTATTACGGGAAACAAACGACTGTCTCAAAAACTGACCAGAATAGGGCATAGTTTTGTAGAATTTCAAAAAACACAAGGATTTATTATGGGGAGCAAACTCTTGTCTCAAAATTGGCCACGATAAGTCATAATTTTGTAAAATTTCAAAAAAAAACACAAACTCATACTGTCAAACAACTTTCTCATGTCAAAAACCGTTCCAAATAATTCAACTTCTTCACCTTTTCTTTCGTAAATTTACCTAATTTTTTCTTAAAACTGTTCATATTCATCATACCATTGGTAGAACTGGTATTTCCGGTCGCGTTATTTGGCTGCGTCGCCGAACCACCGATGTTGCCACCTTGACCACAAAATAGCGAATTTGGCGTTGCCGGACTCGTCGAGTTGACATGATTCCCACCGGCGATGTTATTATTATTATTATGATGCTCCCCCAGGTTGGGGACGGCCGCCATAAAATCCGCGATGGAGGGTCGTGTCGCGATAAAGCCGGATTCAGAGGAGTCAAACCCCTCCAAGGAATCCATGCTCTCGACCGACGTTAAGACCGAGGACGACGCCGGACTTGAGGACGAATGGTGGAGAAGTGATCGTGGCCAAGTGGGTGAACAAGTCACGGCCACACGGTCAATCATTACGCCAAAAGTAGAGTTACTGCACGGCAGCAGCAGTTAACTGATTAACTGCTCGAGCTTTCACCGAGGAGAAAGGAAGTAATGTAACAAAAATTGGGGAGGAAAATTAGGGAGCACAAGTTCACGGGAAAGGTTGCATTTCAGGGTGAAAGTTGGTGGGGAACAATTTGAGACACTTTTCTCCCAGTAAGTGGCAAGGATTTCGGGGTGAAAGTTGATATGGGCACAATCTGAGACCGAATTTAAGTTGCTTTCCGTAAGTCATAAGGTTTTGGGGTGAAAGTTCACACAAAACAGGGACAGGCACAATCTGAGACGACCCGGTTTCACTTTCTCTCAATAAGTTGAAGGGTTTCGGGGTGAAAGTTGATACAAAAAGGGCAACAATCTGAGACCGAATTTCACTTTGTGCTAATAAGTCGCACCGTTTTGGGGTGAAAGTTGATACAAAAACTTGACACCATCTGAGACACCTTTCTCTCAAGAAATAGCACAGTTTCAGGGTGAAAGTCGCCACAAAACTGGACACAATCTCATCCCACACAACTTCACTTTCTCTCAATAAGTCGGATTCATTTCAACCTGAAAGTTGTACACTACCCATTAAAATCCCAACTTTACCCCGTTCTTTTCTCCCAAAAATTACTTAGCTTTCACCCCCGAACTGCCCAATTTTCCTCCCTCTCTTCCCAAATCCATCTCACTTTCACCCAAAACCTATCTCCAAACACATCCACACACACCACCACAGGCAGACCACACCACTAAATTTATAGCCAACTTGTTGGTCCCTTCCCTTCCCGTTTACTTACTTACATTTCACCCCACAAAACTCTCCTTCTTCACAACTTTCTTATTTATGACGTGACGGTCACTTTACTTTATTTATTGGGCGATTCCTCCCTTTTTTTAGAGCAAGAGAGACAGACCACATAAATCAGACCCCAAACAAGCACGTGTTGAGTTTCAACTGAAAAAGAGAGAGAAAGTCGAGACGACCAGACCAGCGAGATGTGCTCTTCGTGGTGGGGATGCTCAGCCACTTCTGCCACGTCTCCCACTGGGCCGAGAGGGTTGATCCGATCTCTTCTTGAGGAGGAATAGTCCAACCCAACCAACGACTCGGATGGCGAAACAGTGCTTGTTTTGTTGGTTACACACGATTGAGACGCAGTAATATGTACGTACCCCTGTGAGTGAATGTTGTGTATTTTTTAGTGGTTAAGGTGGACAATTGTTGGTTGTTTGTGAGGGTGCAGCAGCACAAAATTGGCGAGGGAGGAGGTGGACGAGGAATTAAATCAACCCCTTGCTTGCCTGCCTCACCTGCCTGCCTACCTGGCTGGCTCTTATTACGGGATGAAATATTACGCCATATTATGATTGGTCACGCTGGTTACGGTGGTCGTGTGGGAGTCACTTCTTTTGGTTTGTAGGAAGAAGAAAAAAAAGTAGACGAGACGAGTGAAATCAGAACAGAACAGAACTGGTTTGAATTGAAGGAACAAAATGGAAATGAGTGTTTTTTTTGGGGGGGAAAGGGATGCAAATCAAGTTTTGTTTAATGTGTATGACGCAGGAAGTGGAGAGCAGGCACGCATAGATGGATGTATTTTTGGGACACTGGAAATAATGAGGGGGTAGAATTGTGGGGGTGGTGGGGGCATACAAATTATTGGAAAACTTGAATAGTTGCTTTATAAATTTTGATAATTTTGTGATAAAATTGTTACCGAGTAGCGGTCATAGATTACACGAATTTGCTACCAATAGCAGTAAATTTACAGAGATTTTACAACATTTAAGTTCCTTCATGTAAATTTATGCAAACTTCTATAAATTATGTCTGTAATGTTTGTAGCTCACTTCGAATTTCGCGCACATTTATTCATTACCATCGTGGTGTAAGTTTTATTTATTCCCACATTATAGTTACTTTGTCGAGATTACAGAGTTTTTATAACATTTGAGTATCTGCATGTAAAGTTTTGTAAATTTATGTAAATTATGTTCGTAATTGTTGTACCTCAATTTAAATTACGCGCCCATTTATTCATTCTCACCATTTTCCCCCCACATTATTTAGAGTGTCCTCGCAGCATATGTTATGTCGGTCTTTGTGTCGAGTTAAACTAAATTAATGCGTTTTTGGCCCGATGTTTTGTCCTCGTGTATGTACAAAGTCAAAAGTTGGTGCTTAATAACAATTCGTACATACAAGTAGCTGTATCCTACATATGTGGCTGTCGGTCTGAGAGAATGGTGGGCTGGGTGGTTGGGTCGGGTGTGAGTTGTTTTGTTCAAGTTGAGACGACGGAGCATTAAGTCATTTAATGGGATGGATGGCAAACAAGGAAGGCAAGAAATGCATTCTGCTTAAATCTCCGAGGATGGTGACATGCACTCATTTTCAGCCCGTTCTTCTTTGTCTTCTTTTTCTTCTTTCGTGCAGGATGACACAGTTTATATTGAGAGATCAGTTTCTGTTTTATGTCCTCGTTCCACTTCCGGGGAAGAGATGATTTTTTAGAAAAGGTGGCATTGAACTTGTCGTTTGGTTAATTATGGATTTTGTGTGAAAAAACTTACGGTAAAATATGGGTTTGTAAATATCTATGAGTAAAAAAATACGAGTTTGTACTTATTTTATGGAGGGGGGAGTTTAGTTTATGAATATCCCTTTGTTATTTTTCATCAGTTAAATCCATGCACAGAAACATTTGATAAATTCAAATTTCAAATTAAAAATGAAAGCAGATTAAAAATGAATTATTTCAAGTATCAAATTTCAAATTGAACATTGATAAATTCATATTTTCTCTCCTGCTCCATGCTCATGCCAACGTATCTGGTCAATTCATTTAGGAATATTCACCATTCAGAATTTCTTTTAATGGCGCGACCAGCACGCAATTTTTATTTGAATGATACTTTTTGTAGTTTTTGTGTCCAGTTTACATATATTTTTCGAGTTTTGAATTTTTCTAATGACACGATAAAGTTTTTTTAGGAAACGAAAAATTCATGTAGAACTTGTTGTTTAGTTAATTATGCATTTCAAGGTCAAAGAAATTAGAGTAAAATATGAGTTTGTGTTTATTTTGTTGACGGAATTGATCTAGTTTTTGCATTTGCGTGAATTTTGTACATGTAAAGTTTTTAAGGAAACGAAAAATTCAGCAAGTTTGTTAATAAGTGTGGGAAGAAAAGATGATGCTGGATTGATTGAGTAGAATCGTGTTAAAAATTGATTTTTGTACATAAAATAATTTAGAGCATTGATTTGTTCATTTTCCGAGTTTTAAGTTTGGGGGTGGGTGATGAAGGTAAGAAATTTTGTGAGATTTGGATGCCGTTAAAATAAATTAAGCGTGTTGAGTATTATAAAACTTGTAACAGATCAAAAAGATGCATATGTCAAAATTTGTGAAACGTGAAAATTCTATGCGATCCAATTCAATCGGATATTTGTAACCGGTGAACTTCGCAAAATTATGATACAAAATTTCACAAGTGCGAATAACTATCAATTTAAAAAAAATCATACATTTTTGTTTTACCAAGTTTACGCACATTTCTCTTCCGAATTTTTAATATCCCTTTGTTTATTTCTCATCAATTATTAGCATTATGCATATGTACCATCCCATCTAATCAATTAATTCTTGTAATATTCACCACGTAAAATTTCTTTTAACGGCGAGAATAACTCGCATTTTTTTTTTGTAAATCCGACCTTTTTGATAAGTTTAGGCACATTTATCCTGCTAATTTTAATATCCCTTTATTAATTTATTTCTCATCAATTGTGTGCAGATGTGTCACCCATCTTTTCAATTCGTTTTTTCAATATTCACGGAGCAAAACATTTTGTTAACGGCGTCAACCTCGCAACTTTATTTTTCTATAGCATGCATTTTTCATCCATTTTATTTATACCGACTTGAATTTAACCTCTCGAATTTTGCTCCCATTTTTTAATATCACAATATTTTTTTCCCTTTAGTCATCTCTGCAACTTGAACCTTGATTAAATTATCTAATAAACTAATTTGTGCGCAAATTCATGCAAAAATTCTTTTAAGGCGGGAACAACTTCCAATTTTATTTTATAAATCATACTTTTTTTGCTAAGTTTGCGCACATTTTTCTTGCGAATTTTTAAATATCCCTTTGTTTATTTCTCTTCATCTACACATGACGCAACCTATCTAATCAATTAGTTTTTGTAATATTCACCATGCAAAAATTTCTTTTAACGGCAGTAATAACTCGCAATTTTAATTTCTAAATCATATCCTTTTTTTCCTAAGTTTACGCACTTTTCCTGTGGGAATTTTTAGTAGCTCGCACTCCATTTCTCTGGAATGGACTATCTAATTAACTTATCTAATAAAGTCATTTTTGAGATATTCCACATGTAAAAATTCTTTTAATGATGCAAACAACTTGAATTTTTTAGATACAAATAATACCTTTTTGCCAAGTTTGAGCACACTTATCTCGCGAATTTTGAATATCCCTTGGCTGATTGCTCATAGATTATGTGTATTTGTGCCAACCCATCTAAACAATTCATTTTTTAAATGTTCACCGTGCAAACTTTCTTTTAACGGCGCGAACAACTCCCAATTTCCTATTTTAAAATCATATCCTTTTTTTACCAAGTTTACGCACATTTCTTTTGCGAATTTGTAATGTTTATGTCTCTTCAATTATTTGCAATTGTGTCTAGAATTATCTAATCAATTCACTACATATTACAATTTTCGACATGCAGTGCAGAATGTTTTTTAGCAACGAGAACAACTCGCAAATTTTATTTCAAAAGTATATCATTTTTTGGCAAGTTTACGCAGGTTTATCTTGCAAATTTTTAAGATGTACTTGTTTATTTAATTTTAGCCAAACTTTCATTTTTGCGATATTTCCCATGCAAAATTTCTTTTAACGGCGTGAACAATTCACAATTTTCTTTCTAAAGCAAACCCTTTTTACCCCGTTTATTTATCCCCACTTGAATTTAACCTCTTAAATTCTGCTCCCAATTTTTAATAGCCCTCTCTCCTGTTTATTTCTTCCCCTGACATAAATTACCACGGGGTTAAAACTCTTCTCTCTCTAGGAAATCGCCTCTGGAGGAATTTGAGAGGTATAATTGAAACTGGAGAGAAGAGAAAGCCTCTCCGAGCAGATTTTGAGGTTGAGCCCATAATTCATGTTCATGCTCGGGATGGCCATTTTTCATTTTTTTATGCACGGATGACATCCCCTGATGCAGGATAACCCCTTCTTTCTCCTCTCTCCCAGATTTTTATTAACCTGTTTCTCTCCGTTTTTGCTTAGTAAATTATTTCATCCGTGTTCTCAATTAGCTTTCAACTGCTCCCCGACTACTTGTTAATTGGTGGAAAAGGATTTGGTTTTTCGGGGAAAGTTGGGCCAGAAGAGAGGAGTTATTTTTAGCCGTGGTGGTGGTGGTCTTGATAAGAGGGACATGACGGCCGGGTCGTAAATCACGATTAGAGGTGACGGCGTCCACTCTGATTTGGCCTGTCCAGTTTATCTTGGGATGACCCCCATCAATCTCGCCGTATCGGTGCATCTTACATCAGAGGTTAGGTTGGGTTGAGCAGGTTACTAATAAGGTGGTGGGGAAAAAAGAGGATAGATAGTTGGCTACTCAGCCAGTCACCCGTGGGGTTGGATTGGTCATGTGTGGTCAGGACAGGGTGACAGGAGAGAGTGAAAGTGAGATTTTGTTAGGATGGGAAGGGAATGGTGGCAAGGGAAAATGGGGGGGGGTAATTTTGTAGTGGTGGTGATGGTGGTATGGGAAAGGTCGAAGGTGATGTGCATGGTAAAATTGGTAGCAAAAAGCTGACTAAATTGATTGAACAAAATTACCAAATTGTGACAAAAGTATGGTCAACTTTGTGACGAAAAATTACCAAATTTGTACCAATGACATTATAATAGAACACTGAACGAAATATTAAAATGTGACGAAAGAATCGGATAGATTTCAATCATATTGATC